CCCCCCTCCCCTCCCCTCCGCCCCCCGTTCCTGACGTCCTGAGCGCGGCTGCGGGAACACAATGAGGCCCTGAGGAGCGCGGCTGCTCTGGCTGAGGAAACGGCTGCCGGCTTCCTCCGCGCAGCCCTGCCCTGGCCCCCGCAGCTCACAGCCTGGAGACCATGGGCATGTCTGCGGAGGACAAGCACGCCGCGAGCCCCAGAGGTAACGGGGACACCGTGGTCACTCCCCGGGGAGCTGGCTGCGCTGGTCAGGGGAGGGATGCTACTGCTTGCAACACATTTTGGGGGCTCCTCTGCCTCACCATCCCATAGACCTTTTCCCTGTGCCGGGGTTGGTGCCTTGTGCTCCTGGGGGGTGGGAGCCCGGCTCTGCTTCCTGACGGTGATAACGGCGCCGGGGTCAGCGCTGCTCACTGCACAACTTGTCCTCAAAGCTGCTGACCTCCTCCGAAGCCCCTCAGTCCCTAAGGGTGCCTGTGCAGGCAGGCTCCCCAGCAGAGCGGGAGCCTGACTTGGCTCTGGGTGACATCCTCACGGGGCTACAGAGAGTTGCTGGGGATGGGATAGGGGGAAATGATGAAACTGGGCGATGGGGATGGGGGCTGGCATGTGATAACTGTGCTGGTTCTCAGCTCTCCGCTCTGGCCAGGCGCGGTCCCCCCACAGCTGTGTGGGGGCTTTCAGGAGACTGTGAGCCTCCCATCCTTACCTCAGCCTGCCTCTCCTTCATGTGAGATCTGCCATCTCTCCTTCCCTCCTGCTGACTCACTGCTGAAGCCTCAGCCCTGCTGAGGGCTCCCCAGGTGCCATCAGACCACCCCTCAGACAACACAGCCTTGTGTTTGGGGGGAGCAATGGAGATGTGCGCTCAGCCTCAGGGACAGCCCAAGCTGGCAGGCTGGGTGGCAGCTCCTCGGGGCAGCCTTCTTGCTGCCGCAGCCACTGTGACAACTCTGGTCCACGGTGGTGGTACCTCAGGGGGGGCCCTCATGGAAAGACATGCTTGCTGCCACGCTGTCTGGTTTCCCACATCTGGGTGTGCTTGGAAGTGTGCTGGCAGCCAGCTTCCTGCCTCTGGCCTCAGGGGCCCTTCCTGCCCCACCGGGAGAGGCTTCGCTGTGCTCATTAACGCCTGGCTTCATCCCCAGGCGAGGAGTGGCCGGAAGCAGAGAAGGCTGAGAAGTTGGCCAGAGGAGCTGCTCTGAAATGGGCTTCAGGGGTGTTTTACCGCCCCGAGAAACTGGAGGGGCTCGGGCAGTACCGGAACCGAGAGACACAGAGGAACCGCTCCATCCAGTCCCGGCTGAAGGTGGGTGTTTGCCACAGCCCACCCCATGGATACTCAGAGCTTCACTGCCTCACCAAGCAGGGATCCCAGCCAGGGTCCCTGCTTCTGCGTTGGATCATCTTTGTGTCCACTTCTGGCAAAATCTTGTCCTTTGGTTGGCACTTGGTGGGAGAAATGCAATTATTTGGGGGAAAAGATCTGGCAAATGCAACCACCACTCCTTGCCCTACCCCTGGGCAGTGTCTGAACTGTTAAAAGGAGTCTCCTGTGACCATCCTTCAAAACAAAACCCCAAGAGTGTTCAGCATGTCCTGTGCGCGGGAGTCAGCGCTCCCCAGCACCATCCCACCCCAGCACTGAAAGCTCCCCTTCCTCGTGGCTGGGAGCTCCAACCTGCCCCTGCCTGCAGTTCCCTGCAGGAGAAATTCCATCTCTACACACATTAGGAAGGGCTGTCCCCTGTCCCCATGCACACCTCCCTGCTCAGGGCAACCCTTTTTGCATAACCTGAGGAACGATTAACCTCGGGACATGATCAATCTGAGCACCCCAACCTTCTCCTGATTATTTTGGAGGTGGTTTCTCTTACCTGAATGCAGGTGAATTGTCCAGGAGGCAATTTGTTTCAAGTGATGTGGCCTCAGAGAAAAGAACTTGCGTCTGGTGACACTGGGTAAAAGTGCTTCTTGGCACCAGGAGCTGGGAGTTAAATGGGTGTACAGGGCATGGAGATGTGCCAGTGCCACTGCAGGGCTGGAAAAGATGGAAATCCATGTGGGAGGAAGGTTCATATGGCCACTGAGGCACTTCATGCCATTAATATGACTTGGGGGGGTACACGGGGGCCCTGTGCCCTGCTAATCTTTTGCAAAAGCAAAGTAATCTTTTAAAAATGAAAGGAGAAGTCTGGTTACTGCTCACCCTGTTGCATTGGCCACCCCAAAGTGATGCCCTTCTCCCACCTCAGGCACAGCAGCCACTGCTCTCCCTCTCCATCTCCCCCAACCCCATATGAGCCATTCCTGCTGCTGGAGTGGGTTTCTTGAAGCTGCTTGGGGCTGATGGGATGGGGTCATCACAAAAGATCTGGGAGATGTAATTGTGGGATGGTGTGATGGCAGAGGCAGGTGTGACCTTGTGGGGCTGGGAGAGTGCATGCAAGAGAGACCTTGCCGGGCTGGGGCAAACAGCCTGCGAGGCCTCCAGCCTTTGGGAGCTGCTCCACTGTCCCTCTATCGTCTTCTGCTCCCCAGTCAACTGTCCAGTCCTACCTGGAGGGGGTAAATGCAGGGCTGGAGCAGCTGCGGTTGGCAGCCCAGGAGGTGCAGAGTGTGTGCCAGGACCTGGGGGCTGCGCGGTGGGCCCTGCTCGATGGTGCAGACCGCTTCCAGGGCCTCCAGCAGATGCGGGCGCTGATGGCAGAGCACGTGCAGCTGGCCTCCGTGGTCCAGGTGCTGCCCCAGCTCTTCTCAGGTAAGGCACTGTCCCGGTCGTCGTGGATTTGGGCTGGAGGGCACTGGGGAGAACATCACCCCAACCCCAGGCTCTGCACAGGACTGGCAGCAAAGCTAGAGCAGGTTGCTCTGGTTGGGTTTGGAAAGTCTCCGTGGATGGAGGTGCCGCTGCCTCCCCAGTGCCCGACCCAGAGCCCCACATCTCAGACCCTTCCCCGCACCATCTCCCTGCTAACCTGCACCCGTGCTCCTGCTGCCAAGCCCCTCCGCCCC